CTTGGAGGAGGATTCACCCATGAGGATCAATCATGGAAAAGATTGATGGCATGGCATGTGCCAGCTGTCATGATTATTAGTAGTATTGGTAGACCTCACCTACAGACAGGGAAAAGACTGTGGATATGAACATATTAATATCATTGAACTTCCGGGTGGGGGTAAAAGATTGCACTGCCAGTAGAAAGTTAGCTCTTGGACAAAAAAAAAATCAGCTCTAAACCAAGGCAACAGATCAATGGTTTTGAAGTATATGCATGCATTAGGTCCTGCATTCAATTCCTGACAGCATAAACCCTTAACACCACTGGATCTAGCCCTGACATTACCCAAGAACTTCTGTGATGACCCATTACAGACACGGCACTAATAGGCAAAAGCAGTACTGCATCGTTGTGTAAAGCAATGAACCATTAGGTGTGTATCAGGTCAACAGCTGCGATTGGTTTCTAGAGACAGCAAGCATTACTCAAGAATACTGTCTGCCTTGCACGCAGCCCACATGGCCGACCCGAGTTCGATTCCTCTGCCCCTCTTGGAGAGCCCGGCAAGCTACCGAGAGTATTCGATATGCCAGACACAGTAACAACAAAGTCTCCAATGGAGACGTTACTGGGCCCGCTCGAGCAAATCGATGATCAACGGGAGGGCCTCTCCCCTCAAACAGAACAAAAACAAAAACCTGAACCCTAGATTTTAAGTTTGCAACAACTGGACTGTTTGATTCCCTCCACCATTTTCTTCAGAGAAATGAACAGTTCAGAGTTCAGGCGATAATTCAGAGGCAGAGAACTATAACATAATCTTTTGGCATGGAAAGGGATTGCAAATGGCCACAGGGGTGAGGGGGAAGTAAGGAGCTCTCATCAGTTCTCTTCACCTCCTATTTCTGCCTCACTACCAGCTCTGTGATAAAGAGGATCTTTCAACTTATGTCCATTTCTTTTCTCACCAAAGCCATGCAAACAAGGGAGAATTCTAACTATACTGTTTTAGAATTGTTTGCTAAGTATGAGGAGCACGAAGAATAATATAAATCTAACATGGAAAACATAAAAAGAAGAATAAATCTATACGGCATCAGAAATTGAAGGTAAATGACAGAAATTGCTCCAGCGTAAGAGAAAAAAATGAGATTTAGTATAAATGAAGAGAATCTATGAGAAAGATCAGAGTACATTTGAAGGGTAAACGTCAAGACAATTGGAATTCAGAAGGTGAAATGAAAAAGAAGCAGAGGCCATGTTCAAATTAATAATTTCTGGGAACTTCAAAATTTGAAAAAGAATCCACCATTGAGTTACAGGAAACTGAAAGAACAATCCATTTTCTGGATAAAAATAAAAAATGATCAACAATGAAACAACATTATTTAATTTTCATGTCGCTGAAAAAATATTGATGACATCTGGGGACAAAAATACCTTACTTAGACTGTCATCAGACTTCTCATCAGAAGCCCTAAAGACTAGGAAACAATACAGTAATAAATCCACATTAAAAAATTCCAGTTAATATTCTATCATATTATTAATCATGATAATAGAAAAATAAATGATTTTTCAGACAAAAGCTAAGGGAGTTTATATTCATCAGATCTGACATACAAGAAATATTAAAAGGGGTTCTTCTACGTGAATAGAAGAAACAGAATAACATAAAGTCTTGCAAAAGGGGATAAATAGTATCACAGAAGCAATAACATAAACAACAACGATGCAATGGCAACTAAACATCGGTAACAACTAAGAGAGAAAGAAAAGAACCAAATCTGAATAACTAAATGATGATGAGTTTTGGCATCAAAGACTATTTTAGACATTGCTCATTTAATCTGGAACAAGGACACTTAGAAGAAAAATAAAGCAATTGAGAAGATTTCCAGGAAAACTACCCAAATTAAAAGTTAAAAAAAAAATAGAAAAATAAAGCACCCAGAAAAGAAGTTAAAAAAGTTTCAAGCCCTTTATCTCCACTACTATCTGAAATGTGAATAGTATGAAATCATGAATAAAAAGAAAAGGGACCAGAGAGATAGTACTGCCTTGCTTGCGGCTCACCTGGTATAAAAGCCCCTGGCACCACTCTGAGTTTTGTCAGAAGTGATCCCTGGGCTCATGCCAGAGGTTAAGTCCTGAGCATTGCCTGGTGTGTACCAAAACAAATCAAAAAGTACAGAGAGGCTGAATGGGTTAAAAACAGGATCCAGCTATGCACATGAGAGTCTTATATTAGAAGAAAAGACAAAAATAAGTTTAGAGTTTAAGAGTTGAGCAAGGTGTTCAAAGTCAATAATGCAGAGAAAAGGACAGAAATTGTTATTCTCATATACAAAAAATGCACAGAAAAATTGATATTATGTAATGTGTAAAGCATCTCAAGAAAAATAATCTTCAGTTTCTATACATCAAATATGGGGGTACCAAAATATATTAATTAAGCTAATAGGCTTCAGATCATACATCAATGCAGTAGTAGATTTCAACACACCACTTATAACAATGGACAGATCATTCGAACAAACAAAACCCCAAACAAAGAATGGCATTATATGAAATAACTGATGAGATATTAATAGATATTTATGAAAATTTCCAACTCAAAAATAATGAGAACATATTACTATATACAGAAAAGTATAAGACATTGTTAAATGAAATAGAAAAAGAAATATGGGAAGTTTCAGTGATCATGGATGAGAAAAATAAACATTAGAAACATATTAATATAATTAGATGTAACCTGAAGATTTAGCATAGTACTCAGTAAAATAACAATAGCATTTTCCCAAGGAAATAGAACAAATAATTCTAATATTTATATAAAACTACATAAGATTGTGACTAGCCAAAGCATTGCTAAGAGAATAAAAATAAAGGTCTCATGTTCCCTGATTTCAAACTAACAATGCAACAGTAGTTGGAAGAGTTTGGTATTTAAACTAAAGCAGGCACATGGAATAGAGAGCCCAGAAATAAATCCACATAACTATTGGTTTCTAATATATGACAAATGGCCCAGACCGTACAATAAAGAAAGCAAACCCTATTCAAAAAATGATGCTGGAAAAATTAAACAATCATATGTAAAAAAGCTAGACTGTCATTCAGCTACTACATATGCATAAAATTAGCTCAAATGGATTAAAGACTAAAATTTTATATTTTAAAAAAACACATTGAACTTCATATCCAGGTCATAAATATTGTAGAAGAAAACATATGTGGTAAAATCCAGGACCTTAACACCAGGCATCAATTTGGAAACTCAACTCCATGACAAAGGAAATAAAAGAATAAATAGATGGCAATATATAAGATTAAAAATCTTTTAAGCAATTGATGATTCTTCCACAAAAAGCAACCTAGAAATTGAAAGACTCTATCTGCATATTATAAATCCAACAAGGATTTGATATATAATATATCTAAAGAACTCACACAACTCAACAACAAAAAGGAAGCTACTCTGAAAACTGAGCAAAAGATATAAATAGAAATTTCTCTAAAAAAATCATATGGATGATTCGCCAACACTTAAAAATGCTCATTATCATTTATTATTAAAAATACAAATCCAAACCACAAAAAAGGATATCAGTTCATACTAGGGAGCACAATCTATATAAAAATGACTACAAATAAAAGTAAAGTAAAGTAAAGGCCCTCCCGTTGATCGTCGATTTGCTCGAGCGGGCCCAGTAACGTCTCCATTGGAGACTTTGTTGTTACTGTGTCTGGCATATCAAATACTCTCGGTAGCTTGCCGGGCTCTCCGAGAGGGGCGGAGGATTCGAACTCGGGTCGGCCATGTTGGCTGCGTGCAAGGTAGACGCCCTACCCGCTGTGCTATCGCTCCAGCCCACAAATAAGTGTTGGTAAAAATGTGGAAAACGCAAGGAGCTCTGGTATAGTGTTGTTGGAATGTAAATTGGTATCTTTTTGTGGAAACCAGTGTGAAGATTCTTTAAGATATAAAATGAAAGAAACATATAATCCAATAATACCACTAAGCATTTACCCTAAGAATACAAAAAATAATTTAAAAATACATCTGCATCCCCGTATTTATAGTAGCATTATCCACATTAGCCAATACCTGGAATTAACCTAAAAATACCCATCTATAATGACTGAAAAAAGAAGATATGGCACTCAGTGGAATATTATTCTCCATTGGGAAAGATGCAATTGTGCCATCTGAAACAAAATGGATGCAACTTGAAGTGATAATGCTATGTAACGAAAAGAAAGTGAAAAGCAATTTATGGTTTTAGTTATATGTGGTTGTAAATGAACAAAAAATGACTGACAAAATTCAACATAATAGCTTGACACAGTAGAAATTACGATAGCTACTGGAGGAAAAATGGGAGTAGTGAAAAGAATGGAACTTTGGTGATAGTTATGATAAATCTTATACATTTACAGAAGTATGAAACTATAGCCCTGAAATTCTATGATATTGTAAACCATTAATAAATCAACTTTAAAATGAAAGCAATATAACCCACAGGGCAACACAAAATATGCCATAGACCTGAAAAGAATCCTTAGCTTAAAGGAAAAACCTTATGAATACTTTTATAGTCATGGTCTTCTCATGAAAAAGACATGCAGACAAATACACATGAGACTCTAGCAGAGAGTTTGCTAAAAGAAAACAATATACAATGTTTCAAGTGGATAAAACATACACTAAAACAAATCTCAAAAGTCTTTTTATGTTTAAGTGTTTTCTTATATCAGAAGGCTTTATGAGAAACTCTACTTAGAAAAGGTGAAACATAATTTCATAAATTGCCGAAGTGGACTTTTCCTGAGGATGTTTCAAAATGACAACAGCTTTGAAACACTAAGATAAGGGAAAATGTCAGTAGACTGACAAACTCTTTAAAAGCTGTTGAGGTAATGTAGTTAAAATTTTCCTAATATCCACACTCACTGCAAGGTTGGACTTAGTTGGGTCATACAAACATCTTATTCCCCTAAGTAACTCACAACTTTCAATTTCCAAGGTACAGTTTTGTTCATCCAGAGGGTATCTCCGTAGATCCATCATGCATGCAGCTGTAGTTGTGATCCTGTTATGTGAGGGAGATAAAAGATAGTATCATAAGAACGTGGACTTTTCACTTCCAGGCTTCCAATTCTGAATTACGTTTACCATTTGGCATAAAAATCTGTGATTAAACATTTAGAAGAAAACTAGAGATTGGTTTATTATTTGCTGCCCACTAGTGGTGTGAGTTTGTACTGGTTAATTCACCTCCAAGAGACCATCAATCACATATCACATGTACCACGTGGGATACTGATGAGGATTAAGAGATGTTGGAATAGTGTATGCCCAAAACTCAAGTCAGTAAATAACTACTTAAACTTGGTAAATAACTAACTTAATTAAAACTTAATTAAAATGTATGATGGGAAGAAATCTCTTAGTTTAGTCTCTATACTTGGTAAGTATCCCTCCATATGATGCTTATTATAATAGTTTCTATTATGCCATGATTCTTCTTATATTTACTAACATCCTAGCATTGTCTCTGCCAATATCTAAAGCAAGTTCAGACTTATGGCTAGAAGGACATCTGCATACAAAAATCTACTTTTCTCTCTCACCTAGTTACAAAACACACCCATAAACTGCCCCCTGCGCCACTTAATCTCATCAATGGCCAAGATCCAGAGACTATAAAAGAAAGCTCCAGGAAGAGAGAAACGCAGAACCCCCTGCTCCCGCTCCAGGCTTTCTTCAGCGGACTCCTCAGAGGGGGACGGGTTGAGTTTCCCTCCTGTGCAAGCAGAACCCTGGCAGCCGAAAATCTCCAGAACCCAGCTACAGCCATGCTTAGGGCCACTCTCCACATGCTCTGACAAGTCTCATGCATGAAGGAACTGGTAGAAGAACCCAGATATGTGGAACCCCTGGCTGAGATCTCCAAGCCTGCCCTCATAGGGACTGGGCCTCCTTCCACCAGATCCCCCATTTTCTGATAGCTTGGCAATCACATTCACAAACTGCTCCTGGCACCAAGTAATCTCATCAATGGCCAAGATCCAGAGAATATAAAACAAAGCTCCCATAAGAGAGTGGCACAGCATTTCCTGGAGCATGTGACCGCATTTGCAGCTGCATGACCTTTTATAGTCTAGCCCACTGATGTACCTAAAGTAGCACACATGTGTTTGGGTTTAACATACTTGCTTGTATTCTCTGTCCCTCTAGAAGGGTCCGGCAAGCTACTGAGAGTATCCCGCCATCACAGAACAGCCTGGCAAGCTACCCATGGCGTATTTGATATGACCAAAACAGTAACAATAATGGGCCTCATTCTTCTGACCCTGAAAGAGCCTTTAATACAGCAGCGTTGGGAAAGATGAGTAAGGAGAGGCTGATAAAAATCTCAGGGCTGGGATAAGTGAGACGTTACTGGCGCCCATTCGAGTAAATCGATGAACAATGGGATGATAGTGATACAGTGATACAAAACACAACAAAATAACAGCAATGAAAACTATATTATGTAAATTTTCATGTTTCATATTTCCCACCATCGGTGAAATTTTCACTTTGATTCATTGTTGAGGCCCTGGTTGACCTAGAATTCACTAGGTGACATATAAAAGTAAAGATATACGGTTCTAAATAATTATATTCTGATATATATAAAGATATATCAGTGTTCACACCTATCAGTGTTTATACCATATTTACTAGTTTATTTGAATTTTAGTGCTTATGCAAATCTTAAAATCCAGACCTTAGCTATTCTATGAAGATTTTTATTGTTATTCATTTTCTCTTGACAGGCTGATTTCCCAAACCATGAGGTCTAAATATAACTTAATTTATATGTCTAATCTACTTTATGAACATTTGAAAAAAATTTGGAATTGGAAAATGTAGTTATTTAAGAAGTTAGTGGTCCTCCCTCATTTATCAATGCATAATTATATTGAAATAATTAAAATTGAATTTTATTGTTTCCTTTCTACCTTTATCTGCAGGAGGTACAACATTTAAAATTTCTCATAACTGCTCTGTGAAAATTTTTTAAGTACAGTCATATTATTTTGGGTGAGTGGGTAGATAATTCTTAGCTGTGAACCACAAACCTATATGAAGCCTGCTTGCTTTTACCGACAAAGTAGTGAAGATCTTGTTCTTAAAAATCCATAATATACTGTTTAAGAAAGTTAGTCGTGTGCTGTTTTATGGACAAATCATAATCTATTTTCCTAATCACCCATAATGGGTATTTACAGTGTTTCCTGTTCCTTACTTTTATAAATAAAGATACTCTAAAATCTTATAACTGCAACAAACACTTCAAAAATGAGGACATATAGAGGGTCAACAGGGACATAAAAAAATGTTCATTATCACTGATAATCAGGGAAATACCTCAGACTAGTGAGAATAGGCAAGAGAACATAAATATCCAAAAAACTAATATTTATATATCAAAGATATAAAACATAAAGCCAAAACATCCAAAAGGACAGAGAGAACACATGCTGGAGGAGATTCAGTGAACAAGAAACCTTACTCTTTGTTGGTGGAATGCAAACTGCTTCAGTTTCTAGATGACAATAATTTCAAAAAGCAAAAAATGTAATATATGTAATCTAGAAATTTGTATATCTATTTAAAGAACATAAAACACTGGGTGAGCATATATTTTCATACCTATGTTTACTGCAGTGTGATTTACAATGAAGATCAAAAAACAAAAAACAAGTCTTGTCCATCAAAAGAAGTAGATATAGAAGATGTTGTATATATGTGTGTATATATATATGCAAAACAATATATGCACATAACATGCATATGTATTGTCTTTTTTGGGCCACATCTTGCAGTACACTCAGAGATCATTCCTGGTGTAGCTCAGAGTACCATATGGGATCAAAATTGGGTCAGTCTCTGCAAGTACCTGCAAGCAAATACCCTACCTGCTGTACAATCTCCCTGGCCCCAAGAAGATTTGGTATAAGACTAATGAAATTCTGCTCATCTATAAGAAAAATAAAGTCTTGCATTTTGCTTGAACAGATGGAAACAAAGGGTATCATGTTAGATGAAACAAGTCACTGGATAACTGCACTCATGTGGGGTATATAAAGAAACAAAGTTAGTGTACAGATAATTTATCACTTGTATCACTTGTCACTTGTATCACTTGTCATCCTGTTGATCATAGATTAGTTCGAGCGGTGCCAGTAACGTCTCCATTCGTCCCTATCATGTGTTAGTGTAGCCCAATGACATTTGCTCGCTCCACGAACATGAAGAGCCTCAAACCATTTGTTCAGGGTTTCGACGAAGAAGTCTGACCATCTCGTAGGTGGGCAGCCACATGTTCTTTTGACATTCTGTAGAATCCAGCAGGTAACAGCTCTAGTCCAGTGGTCGTCTCTAAGTCGCATTACGTGTCAGGTCCATCTGATTTTTGACACCTTGGCAAACGAAGCAGCATCCCTGATCTTTGTCATTGACAGAGGTCAGAACTCTGTATTCCTTCTCTCACTTGAGTGAAGCATGATACTCTAAGCATAGCTCTTTCAATTCCTCTTTGGGTGATCCGAATAGCATTCTCATTCTGTTTTCATAGAGCCTAGGTCTCTGAGGCCTATATTAGTGCAGGAAGAATAGTGGAGTCAAAAAGATGTTCCTGGAGCTGGAGGTTCTTAATCCTCTTAACAACCTCTTCAATGCTCTTGAAGGCATTCCATGCTGCTCTCTTCCTCCTGTGCAATTCTGGCACCAAGTCGTCCCTCATGTTGAGTTCTTGACCCAGGTGCACATAGCTTTTGCATTCAGAGATGTTCATTCCTTTCAGAGCAAATGGAACATCAGGGACTAGTTTGTTTTTCATGAACATTGTCTTGGTGAGATTCAGCTGCAGTCCGACCTTTCCTCACTCATGGTTGAAGTCAGCCAGTATTTATGCCACTTGGCTAATGTTTGGTGTTATTAGAACGATGTCATCAGTGAAGCGGAGGTGGTGTGGTCTTCACTCACATTTCTTCCCATTCCAGTCTTCCCATGATGTTCTAGAGGGTGGCACTGAAGAGTTTTTATGAATAGTATTACCCTGACGAACCCCTCTCTTTATGTAGATAATCACTTCCTCATAGAATGGTGAGATCCTGGTGGTGAATCTATATTACAGCTCAAGGAGGATCCTGATGTATTGAGTTTGAATGCCCTGTTTGGCTAGGATTTCAATGAATGCTTCAGTCTCAACAGAATCAAAGGTCTTTTTAAAATTGATGAACATTAGACAGTGGCATCTTGAACTCCCAAGAAATCTCAATGAGCTTGGTCACCATGTGGATATGGTCGATCGTGCTGAATCCTTTTCAGAACCCAGTTTGCTCACATGACTGTTCTTTATCTAGTGTTTTGCCTATTCTATTCAGGATGGCTCTAGTGAACAGCTTGTAGACAATGGACAACAGGCAGATCAGGCGATAGTTGCTGATGTCGTGGATGTCTCCCTTCTCGTACAACAGAATGGTTATACTGATTTTACTTTGGGATGAAACCTTGCATTCAGACAGGTAACATATGAACAGCCGAGCCAGTGTATTGATGAGTATTGAAGGCAGGTTCTTCAAGTGTTCAGGTCTGACCTTGTCTGGGCCAGGTGCTGTTTGCTTCTTTGCCAATGAAATGACGTGTCTGACTTCGGAAGGAAGAACGTTGGAAACGACATATCCATCCTGCGGAATTTGGTATGTGGGCAGGTGAACATGGCTATCGAAAAGATCCGAGTAGAAGTCATGGATAATCTCTATTACCCTTCTGGAAGGTGTGATATATCCATCAGAATGTTAGAGGGCAGTCATCTTGGTCTTGTAGTTGGTGAAGGACATGCGAGCATTGCAAATACTTTCCCAGGCTTCTGTCGCATCTGCCATCACTGCTGCTCTTCTCTCTTTGAGGTCTTCCTTTATCACTTCTCAGACAATTTATAAGGTAAAGGTAAGGTAAAGGCCCTCCTGTTGATCGTCGATTTGCTCGAGCGGGCCCAGTAACGTCTCCATTGGAGACTTTGTTGTTACTGTGTCT